GTTTTTTGGCCTCAGCAGGCATTTTTTATTCAACATTTTGCAGACTAGTGTGGGAGGTGGAGACAGAGTGGGTGAGACACACCCCCGCCTGACTTCTCAGGGAAAAAGGACTTTCCTTAAAGGCTGGACACATCGGTGACTTGTCAAAGCACATGAAATCAGCCCTCCCTCTCCTGAGGCCTTGGTGCTATTCTGTAAAAATGTAAAACAAAATACATTTCACCAATTTTTTTAAAAGAAGAAATTGTGAACCTCTCAGTCACCATGTGCCGCAGAAGGAACTGTCAAATGTTCTGTCCGTGCTGCCCTCTGGGCCCGCCCCCACACCAACATTTTATCCATGTTCCAGGGTATTGCAAAGAGCTGTATTTACTGAGTGGGAGATGGATTGGCCGAGCCTAAAGTGCCAGTCTATTCTGACATTCCATGGCAGGGTATATGACCCTGCTCTGGAACTTTCTAAGCCTTTCTACTGAGGCTTCTGCGCTTGCTGGTCCCCTACAATGCTTAGAAATCATGGTGTCCTCGAGTCTTTATCCCCTGATCTTACCTTAAATGCTCCCTCTCCCAGGAGCCCTGTTCTTCCCTTACCCACAGTCACCCCAATTCTCCCCTTCAAAACAGTTTAACTCTCTTACCCTGATTACCTGTTCATGACTTACACCCAGACCCCTTTAGAATGTGAGCGTTTGTAGGCAGAACTGTCGGCCCTATTCCTCATCACCTTATCAGCAAATAACACAGAGCCTAATGGCAATTTGGTGGTTGACATTTATTTGTGGAATCAAAGAGTGCTTGCATGAGGAAAGCCATTTAGTCCAGAGGAAGCAGCAGCCCCATTTGGGCTGGAGCCAGGTTGTGGATTGGCAGCTGGCTCCAAAATAGACACAGCTAGCCCTGGCTGGGTGGCAGTGTATGACATGCACATGGTTTATGTGGATGTCACAGCCGTTGTTCAGTAGCAGGCTCAAGTCTTACTTCCACCAACAACTTGGCTAAAAATATGAATCTGAATATTTAACGAACGGTGAGCACATGTTCTGTTTTATCTTTGAAAAGCCCAATCAATTCAACGGTCCACTCTCAAGAAATGTATCACAGCTTCGCCTTCCTTTTTGTTTTCTTTCTATTGTTCCCCCCACCTACAGTGATCTTTGTCCTCTTTTTCTGACTGGCAAATGCCCACTTGTCTTTTTTTGGAAGACACAGAAATCTTAGAACAGGCCATTGCGCTGGCTGCTGAGATCCCAGATGCATCCAAAGATCTTGACTCACAAGCCTAAGACATCTACAGTTTCAGTATATTTCGCTCTTCTCAATCCCAGGCTAACCCTGGAAGCATTGGTTGAGTAATTTCCCCACACAGAGTTCCCATTAAGGCACCTAGGAAACACATGCAAACTTAAATCCATCACCCCCTATGTTACTGCGGGAACAGCTACAAGAGCCCTCTTACTTCATCTGCTTTTAGTTGACTTAAAGATCACTAATTTGGGAGGTTAAATATCTGGGTAATACATTTTACTTCCTGCTAACTTTTTCTTGGTACTGGAGATTGAACTCAAGGCCTTCATATCCCTTCAGCCCCTGCCGCTCACCCCGCCCCCTACCTTTTGAATTTTGCAACAGGGTCTAAGATGCAAAGTTGCCTGGGCTGGGCTCAAACTTGTGGTCCTCCTGCCTCATCCTCCTGGAGTACTGGGATTACAGGTGTGGGTCACTGCACCCAGCTTCCCACTAGTTTCGCTGTATACAACACATCTGATGTGTGAGTTATGATCAGTCACCTATCTTATTTCTCAGGGACCTGAAGGTCACTTTTGCTGAAAACACTGACTCTTCCCTTGTGCTGAGATGTCCAGCAGGTGCCTGGAATGGGATCAAGAGGCGTGGACCCTTGACTGCATGTCCTGTCTGTCTCCTGCTACCTTAACTGTCAGCTCAGATTTTCTCAGCTCTGCATGCAGACATTTTGATCACTCGTCGGAGCTGGTGTGTTTTTCTTCACAGCTCCCCTTGAGTTTTCTGCAGCCTCAGCAGCCCAAGCATCTGAAATCCAACGGCTGCATCACGAGGCCCCAAGCAAACCACAAGGCCAGAACATTCACACAGGCTGATGGCGCCAGCTGCAAGAGTAACTCGGTAGGTTCTGGGACAAGATGACTGCGGATTGGTCAGGTCTTTGCACAAGAAGAAAAACATCTTTTGAAACTGTGCCATAGCCAATGAAAAATTACCAGACATTAGCAGACGCCAGCACATCAATAGAAGCTTGCTTCTCCTTCTGTTTGGAGAACAGCCTGGTCCCTCTTTTAATCATTTCTGACTCCCTGCAGCTCGAGCTGAAGTCAGGCAGCTTAGATCGAAGTTCCAATAAATCCTCGCCTGTGTGCTTGCAACTTTTGGCTCGCCTTCATTTCCATGCCCACAGTCTCCAGTAATACCCGCACTTATGACGGCATAGCCAGTTAGAGAGGAGAAATGGAACAGGTTTTCCAAGTGTTGGCACCTAGAATAACATCTGAACTCTTCCTCTTGGCCTGACAGGAGGTGCTACCTCTTCGGAGATGCCTGCCCTGTGCCTGCCCAGGCAGAGGTAATGACTTCCTCGTCTCTCCCCAAGTCAACCTTCTTCACTTCTACAACAGCACATAGTGTGTGCTGCCTGACTCAGAGGAGCTGTTTCCACTGATGCCGTGTGTTCCTGCCTCCCTCTGCGCCCTCTCCAGCCTTGCTTTCTCCCAGCTGCTCCCCAGCACCTTCCCTGGGCTTTCTTCTCTTTCCCTACCACTCTGCATCTTTCTAGACTTCACATCCTTATCCTTCAGTAGTTGCTTGGCGAGCACCTGGCATGCTGGTGGGAGGAGACAGATGTAAGCAAGTAGAGAAGGGAAGTGTATGGTTTGTCAGGTAGTAAATGCTATGGAGAAAAATCAAGCAGGAAAAGGAGACGAGAGTGTCGTGTATGTGTGTGTGCGCGCACACACACGTGCACGGGTGCACGTGCACGCATGCGTGCATGTACCCATGCCCTTGGGGAAGGGCTGTGGACAGCAGGAGCAGCCACTTTAAATCTTCTAGGTATAGGAGATGACACTTGAACAAAGCCAGGAAGGGTTTTCTTGTGAAGAATGCTCCAGGCAGGGGCAGGAGCACATGGGAAGGCCCTGGGATGGGAGAAACAAGGAAGCCAAACTTCCCTTTGCTACAGTCTTCCTGTGAACTTGCCTTACCCTGAACTGGATGGGTGCCCCCCACCCCTCAACACTCTGTGCTCTCCCAGGTCCTGGTGCTCTTCCTCATCTAAGCACCAATCAGATTGTATTGCAATGTTCCCCAACCAGACTGGGAACATCTTGGGGATAGGGACTGTGTCTTTTATTTTGTTATTTCCAGTACCCCACTGGGGCATAATACACATTAACTAATCGAATCTGTCAATGCATAGGCAAACCAGACTGCATACTTGAGGATGTCTCATATATCTATATCCTTGGAAGCATTAGTATACTGTGTGGCACAGATTTGGTCCTATAAAGATGTTTATTGAATGACTAATAGAAATAGCATGCTAGGTGTGGTGATATACACTTGCATTCTGGGAGGCTGAGGCAGGAGTACAAGCTCAGTCTGAGTAACTTAGCTAGAACCTGCCTTAAAAAAAAAAATAAAATAAAGGGCTGGAGATATAGCTCAGTGCCCTGGCCCTGAGTTCAATCCCTAGTATCACACACACACAGACACACACCCAGAGAGAGAGAGAGAGAGAGAAGAGAGGAGAGAGAAAAGAAATAGCTAATAACAAGCATAGTTAACATGCTAAGTTCTTCACATGTCTTATCTCATTTGATTTTTAAAAAGATCCTCTGAGGTAGACATTATTATCGTATTGTTAAAGTAATTGGTCTAAACTGCCTCCATACATATGTTAAGTTTGGCCAAACAATTTCTCTGTAAATAGTGAATTGAAGTCTGTCTTGACATACAAACAGAAAGTTCTTACTAAGAATAGTAACCTACTCATAGGAACCAAATCTCAGCCAATCACTATGTTCAAATAAGATAGACATGAGCTATAACCAATCAGACTGTCACTACCTCACTTCCTGGCGGGCACTTCCTTTTCTCTGACTGTAAATATTACTGGTGTCCATGTGGTAGTTCTGGGCATAGTGAACTCTCTTTGATCTGCACTACTGTTTGATTCTAGATTCACAGTAGCAGCTATAACAAATAACAAAACTCAATTAAAGTCTCCAAAACTAGATTTGCTGTCATTTTCTCTTTTAGCAATATGCACCTTGCAGATTGGGACACTGAGGCCTGAAGAAGAAAAAATGGTGCCCCCCATATCACACAGCTGGTCAATGGCAAAGCTCTGAAAGGAACCTGATCGGTTTGACTCCAAGGCTACACACACTTGGCCCAAAGTTTAACAACCTGGCATGGGTGAGAGAGTAGAGGTAGAGTAGGGGTAGAAAGAGCTGTGAGGAGACCACAGAAAGGTCTCCTATGTGGCCAGGAATAGTGTGGTGCCCATCCTGGGCTCCTTTGTGTACTGAAGTGCTTGACATGCGGTGGGTATTCCCAGTAGTTAAGTGATGTTAAATAGATGGTGGTAATTCCTTTTCCCAAAAGGGAATGTTGTCTTGTGGTTTGGGTTATCAAGAAATTCAGGCAAAGACTTCAGATGAACACAAACACAAGTCCTAATCCACCCTGCTCAAGCCCCACCCCCGGTTCTGTCTCACATTTTAGGAATGATCTTCCATGTATCCTCCATCTTCCTTTTAGGTGTGGCCTGGCTTTGCCAACTACCCCAGCTCTCAACATTTGGCAAGTGATAGCTAGAGGACCATGGCAGCCCTAGGGAGGGTCTCCTGCCAGGGCTGTGCCTGCCTGCCCTGCTCCGGGGCCCCTTTTGAGCTCTCCGGATCCCACCTCCCTCTCCAGCCAATTTGCCCCTCCTCAGTTTGTGCACCCCCCGTGCTGTAACTGACCTCTGTGGCCTGGCCTTGGACCCTGCTCCTGGGGCCTTTCTTTCTCCAATGACAGCTTTCTCAGGCAGAGCCTGGAGCTCCAGGTGCTGCAGCCTGTCCACATCCAGCCAGAACATTGGCACCCACAGCCTGTGGATCCTGAAAGAGCAGATTTGTGGTTTTCAGAATCTTCAAGAAGTGAGTGGGAGTGAGCGATGGAGGCAGAGCCTGGAGATGATGAGAAGAGATTTCCCCCTGGACCCCACCAGGTGTCACTCTGCTCAGCTCCAGCTGTCTTTGCAGATGCAGAAAACCCAGCAAAACCCCACCGTGGCCCTGGCCACCCTGCCCTGAATTATCCAGGTCACAGCCTTATCCACTTTGCAAGTCTCTGCTAATCCCTCCAGCCCCAAGAAGCCCCACCTTGGCCTCAAAGCCTGCTAATGTCCTGGCTAGTGGAGGATTGGGCTCCTTGGGCTTGGCTGGGGTGGTATAGTGAACACAGAGCCTGGGGACTGGATGTCCAGGACCAGAGCCTGGGCCTGGGATGCCCAGGCTGCAGGAAAACAGATCAGAGTGACTGGAGCCATCACAGAAGCAATGCACATCTGAAAGTGAGGTGTTTTTGTTGTTTTGTTTGTTTGTTTGTTTTTTCTGGTATCAGGAATCGAACTCACGACCTTGCGCTTGCCAGGCGGGCGCTGTGCCACTGAGCTAAATCCCCAGCCCTGGAAGTGAGTTTTGAGAGGAGACCAGTAGCCAGAAATATGCTGTGTCACTCATTTGGAAATTATTCGCTGAGTACCTGGCTGGGACAAGAGATGCAGAAGCAAAGTCCTTGCCCTTAGAGAGCTTGGGGTTTAGTCCCAGAGACTGCATGTGAGCAAGCCACCGAAAACATTCAGGCAAAATGAATGACTAAGCCCAGAGCAGCAGGTAAAATGACAGCAGCTCCCTTCCAGGCCAGCCAGAGCTTGCCAGGGATAACAATAGCAGCTGCGACAATCACAGTGGTGGTGGTTAACAATTACTTGGGGCTTATCACGTGCAAGGCAATAGCACAACACCCTGATTTATCCCATGTATCACAGACTCCAAGTGAGATCAGTGTTCAGCACAGTGGCCCAAGATCCCCTAGCTAACCAGAGGCTCTGTAATCCTACAAGGACTCAATGTCTTTTCAAATTGGCAGCCACTAGTTTGATAGAGTTCTTGACACAATAGCTGTTTTTCTCTCTCATGGTCAGAGAGAGGGAAAAGGGAACCTTAAAAACTAGAAATGTGTGTAGTCAAAAGTGAACTTGCTCGGAGTGCACTGAAGATAACTGTTAGGAACACTTTCTATTTTTATAGCTAATACTCCACTGTATAAAAATACCACATCGTTTTATTCATTCCTCAGTTGATGGGCATTTGAGTTGTTTCCAAGATTTAGCTATCACAAATTGTGCTGGTATAAACACGGGTGCACATATATTGCTGTGGTATGATGTTTTCAGTGCTTCTGGACAAATACCCAGAAGGGGAATAGCTGGGTTGAACGGTACCTCTCATCCTAGTTTTTTGAAGAATCTCCACATTGATTTCCATAGTGGCTGTACCAGTCTACACTCCCACCAACAGTGGAATAGGGTTCCTTTTCCAACAGCCCCTCCAGCATTTGTTTTTTGTTGACTTCTTGATGATAGCCATTCTTTCTGGGGTGAGATGGAATCGCAGTGCTGTTTTAATTCGCATTTCTTGAATGACCAAGGATGTTGAACATTTTTTTTTTGAACATTTTTTCATATAT